AGTTTTCTTTTTCTTTTCTCTTGCTTTTCTTGTTTGTTTCTTGATAGTGATCGGGGCCGTTTGATGGCCCCGAGGAGCGGTGAAAATCTCCGCCGTTCTCGAGGGTTTTTTAGGGTTTTTATTATGAATGTCCAGGGGAGAGACGCTAGTTCCGATGAGTGTCCCGGGGATGGAAGTCTTTTCCGATGAATGTCCCGGGGAGGGAAGCATTTTCCGATGAATGCCCCGGGGAAAGATTCTTTACTCCGATGAACGTTCCGGGGAGCGACGTCTATTCCGACGGATGCCCCCGAGGTGGGTTTACAGTTCGGGTCATACTGAACCGAGGAGGTTGTACGATAGGGCAGACCCTCCGGGGACGATGCTCGGGGAGTCCTCGTCGCCCTTTCACTTGACTTGCGGTTGAAGGGTGAATTTGATCTCTATCATCAAATTCACCGTTACCTTCTGCTTTTCAGGTGTTTAATGACTACGCTCGTCTTGGGCACAATGGCCGAGGATAATGAGCCAGACGTCCCCCACTTTGATGAGCGCGTCGTCCCGATCGGAGACTGGGTGGCCGAGGAGCCCCTCACCACGCCCTCCTGCTTTACTTTTGATCCGACGGGGGCCTATGCCACCGTGGAAGACCGGGAAGAGGGGGATCCTCAAAACTGGCAAGTCTACCTCCCCCGGCCAGGTCATCAGATCTGCTCGAAATACGAGCGGATGCGTTTTCCGATGTACGAGTTTTACTTCAAAGAGGCTAGGCTCAGGTTGCCTTTTTCGGACTTCCATCTGGGTCTCTTCGACTGGCTGAGGTTGGCCCCGTCGCAGCTGCACCCTAACGCCCTGGCCTTTATTCGGGCCTTCGAGCTCGTGTGCCAATATCTCCAGGTCGGCGTCACGCTGCCGCTGTTCTTTCGTATTTTTCATCTGCAACGGCAGTCGGTGGGAGGTCGACATGGCTGGGTGTCCTTCAAGCAGCCGGGCAGACTTTTCCGGACGTACATGGATTCTGTCCGAGATTTCAAAGGTCGCTTTTTCGTGGTCATCCCCATCACGCACGAAGGGGTTCGCTCTTTATATTCGGAAGGGGAGAGGATAGTGGATGGTCGTCGCGAGGCCGTCATGCTGCCCCGGGTGCACGTGGAGTGGTCCCCGGACCATTATTCTCGGGGAACAGGTGGGTATATCGTGCAGGTGGGGATGTTTGATGACGAGGACATGGCTAGCTATCTGAAGATAGTTTCCTTCGTGCGTAATTTACTGTCGGCGAAGCTGGTTACCCCCGACGGACGGTATCTCCTCGACAGCTACGGAAACATTCGCGAGAAGCCGAGGCTGATCAACACAAAAGCCCTGCTCGAGTGTGCCTCGGAGGAGGACGCTCTCCGCTACCTAGGTGGTGGACGCCTCGTCCCTTTTCGACTTGATATCCTTGACTTTTTACTGACCAATTTTTCTTTTGTCGTGCAGGGAATATGGCTTCTGTCGAGGAGCGAGTGAAGAAGCTGCGCGCGTCAAGGGCTGCTGTTCCTTCGCAGACGCGGGTGGCTCAGTTGGCCGGGCAGTCTTCTGCAGAGCAGGATGGAAGGGGGTCGTCGGCGTCACCGACCGGTAGCCAGTCACCTACTTCCCAAGGGGCCCCGAAGAGAGCGAGAGTTCGGGAGGATACGCCCGTGGTTGATCTATCGGTGGAGCCTTCCGAAGAGGGTTACACCATCGCTCCTTGTCACCAGCATCCCAGCTACTTCCATGGGGCTAGGTCGCCTAGTATTGCTGCGGGGGAGGTGAAGGCGATTCTGGGTGCCGACCGCGCTACGAGGAGGCAGGTTCTGACCGAGGACTTGGTCGCGTTGATGCGGACTTTCGCTACGGCGATGGTTCTGAGCGAGGAGATCTGCTCGGCCGTCGAACTGTCGAAGCTGCAAGGGGATCTCGCTTTCGCGCAGTCCCGTCTGAATAAGGCGGCCGAGGATTTAGAAGCCAGTCGAGGGAAGGTGACGCAGCTGACCGGAGAGTTGGAAAAGGTTCGCGGGGAGGTCGACCTCGAGCGCAAGAGATGTGGCGGCGCTGAGGAGAAGCTGAAGGCTGCTGAGGAGGAGTTGCGGGCGTCGAAAGCTCGTGTGGCGGAGCTCGAGGGCGATCTCTTTCCCGGTGATGATGAGACTAACGACGACAGGCTGTTGGTGACCCGGGCTGACCTGCTTGCCAGGATACGCGTGCTGGAAGGGGATTGTCTGGATGGTTTTGTTGCGGGCTTCAACAGCGCCGTTGCTCAGCTCAGGGTGGTGAACTCTGGTGTTGCCTTTGTCGAGGATGGGATCGGCCCCTTCCATGAGATAGTTGACGGCCGGGTGGTTGACTCCAGCGCCGAGGAGGCTGACACCGTCGTCCCTGGCGTGGAGCCTGAAGCTGATGGAGAGGAGGGAGCTTAGATTAGTATCGGGTCTGCGTGCCCGCGTATTTCGGCCTACGCGCCATATTTTGTATTTCGTTGTTTTCTTTGTCGGGTCTGCGCGCCCTTGTTTATGTAATGTTGACTATTGGGCTGGTGCCCGCTTTTGATTAATATATTTTGAAAATTGTCTAAGTGTGTGCCTCGTTTTTGCATGTTGTTTATGCTCGTTTTATTTCTACACGTATTTGTATGCTTGAAATATATATGTTTGAAATGCATGTTTAGTATGCCTTTGGGCCTGTCCGGGGTAGTAGCTCGACAATACTTGTTACCGGCGATGAAGGGAACTGGCCGGTTGGCCGGCGTTGCCTGACCGGTTCGGAGGTAGTTCTCCCCGTGGCGTGGACGTCCCATCGCGAGCTGGGTGTCCTACCGGTTTTGGTACGGCGGTGGGGAATCTCGGTCGAGGTGTTCCCCGCCGAGCAAGGCCTTCTGCTCGCGCACACAAGAGGCAGGGCTTGCTTTTCTCTGGTCGTTAGTAGACGTGAGGAAGTGCGGTGGTACCATGTCGCCCCCCCCCCCCCCCAGTGGTCGTGATGATGGGCCGTCACGGGCAGTGTTTAACTATAGTACTGCTTAAGTTTCTCGGCGTTCCATGGTCGAGCTAGTTGTTCCCCGTGCAGGTTTTCGAGGTAGTAGGCCCCGTGCTCCGTCTTGTCGCGGACACGGTAGGGATCTTCCCAATTCGCAGCTAGTTTGCCCTCGTGTGAGTCTTTCTGGTTTCTGCGCAAAACTAAGTCGCCGATTTGGAAATCGCGTTTCAAGACTTTGTTGTCGTGGCGAAGTGCCACCTGTTGTTTCAGTCGGGCTTCCCGGAAGGCTGCTCCTAAGCGAATCTCCTCGACGAGATCGAGCTCCTCTCGTAAGGCGCTGTCATCTGACCTGATCAGAAGGGGATCACGGGCTGGCCACACGCTGTTGAACTGCTACCTGTTCATCGTTGATGAGGAGGAGAAGGGGGGTGTACCTGCAGAACACTCTGATGCCAAAGTAAGGAGTTGGGTAGAGTGGAAGCAAAGCACAGAGAATGGGTAAGAAGTGAATTATCTGGCCCTCTTGAGGAAGAGGGTATTTATATAGAGACCCCAGCGCTGGGCCAACGGTCACTTGCGTTGGGCTGGATTGTCAGGCCCAACCCAGGTGACTGCTAGGGCTTACGTGGCGTAGTGAAGACCAGGACGAGGTATTCGCCCTAGTTTAACTGCTCCGTGAACTCCGGAAGGTGGGTTGACCAGCTCTTGCGGAGGTGGGCAGTTGGTGAAGGACGTGTCCCCGCGAAGGGAAGCACGTGGAGAACGTGCACAGGACATGTTGTTCTCCCCGCAGAGGGGAGCTCGCGAGGTTCCCTGGAGACGCGTTGTTCTCCCCGAGGAGGGGAGCACACGTGGACGTGGGAGAGCCATGGGGTCTTGCTCGGTGGCATGGGGAATACCGCCCGCGGAGGGCGGTGCTTAGTCGTGCGGGCGATTCGCTTGCCCGGCGTGGTTAGGACGGTTCTTCCTCGCGGAGAGATCTTTCTAGCGGGTCAGGAATCTTGTGCCCGACGCGGTACCCAGACTGAGTAGGGCCTGGTAGAACATTATTGGGCTGGGCCGGCATAATTCTAGCCCGGGGCCCAGGCCAGAACAGATCCATTAGTGCAAGCTAATTGCAAGAAATTTGAAACAGGGCTGTGCTAGAAAACCAATGGTGGTAGATGCAAATTGTGATTTTCAGAATGTTAAACGATTATGTTGTTAGGATTTCTCTTGCATGAACAAAAATTCTAATTGTGTGAATGTTGATCATAATGACTTCCAATATTATAGCATTTCAATGTTACATTGGATTGTATGAGCATTTCAATGTACATTGTGGAAAATTTATAAATTCTGATAACTTCAAAGTTCAAATGATTTTTATAAAAGATGTCTTATGTAAGAGTCCAGATAGATGCTTACATTAGTTGGTCATCAAACATTAACATTTATATGCATTCATACTGAGCTGGTTTGACTTCAAATATGTGAACATGCATTTTCAAAGTGTTCAAAGTGTACTATAAATAGCTCTGACATAAGAATAACAAGACTATTTAAATAGAAAAGTCCCACTTTTGGGGCAGTGTTCTAAGTGAAATTTCTTTACATCTTTGTGCTGTTATTTCCATTCATATGTTTATAGTGAGTGCAATGAGTTGAGCTACATCATTAACTTGTAAAATAGAACTGAGGTAATGTGTAAAACATACAAACTGATTCAAAGTACATACATAAAAACAGAATACAAATATTGCCTGATCATATTTTTGAATGGCCACAAAAACTCCCATCTCAACAACCAGCTATTTAAGCTGAAAGATAAAAAACTTTCAAAGAAATAGAAGAAAGTTTAATCATTATTTGTGCCCACATCTCTGATTTGTGATACGCCCCAAAACGCACTTATTATATGAGTGTGACAAGTTGGTACAAACTATCAGGTTCAGTTATCAAAGCAACCAATTCCAACTAACTAGATTAACATACTCTAATAAATGCTACATACCTAGGTCCTCTTTGGCATGTGCGGAGACCAGTCAAATAAGCAATGCCTCCCAATCAAGTGTTTCACCAGCAAACATGGGAATAATATCTCCAAAAGGAAATGACAGACACTCGGGTACTTTCCAAGGTGATTTCCTCAGTTTAATCTTTGACTTGTTTCTGGGGATACCATAGAAGTCAGGTCCATTAAAACTTGTAAATGCCTCCAGCTTGTCCAGTGCACCAGCCTAAATGTGCAGCAATTTCGTAAAACATTAAGATTAAACTCCACAACTATCAAAGCAAATTATGAGTTTTCCCATCAAGATACACACCATTTATACTCAGATAAGAAGATTATCATATCTTAAAACACGCATGAGAATAATTACCGAAACATTATTACTACAATTTGACATCGCCGCCATGTTAAACATAAGAGATACTTGCTTATTCTGCAAACCTTTTGGAAGTAAGGTTTTCATTTATATAACAAATGAATAATTTACATTAAAATCTCAAAGAAACTCAAACATCTCGCGATTAAATGAAATAAATCTCTCTTTCTTCTGAAATTTACCCATATGTACATTTAAAACATTGACCTATTTAATTTAATATAAACTTATAATAAAAGTGTTACCTCTTCAAAAACCTTGGCATATAGTGATAAAGCGACTGGGGAGTTGTATATGCCAGCACATCCACAAGTACGTTCCTTATTACGCCTATCATGTGGAGCACTATCAGTTCCGAGGAAAAATCGTTTACTTCCACTAGTGATAGCTGAAACAATAGCCCGTCCTAAAAAAGAGACAAAAGGAACACTCTGATCTAACATCTAAAAGTTGTTGAAACTCTGGAAAATAAGGGGAAAAAAACAAAGTAACATACTGTGGATCTCTCTTTTAAGCACGGGAAGACAATAATTGTGAGGCTGTAAGCCACCTTGGAACAATGCATTTCGATTGAGAAGAATATGCTGAGGCGTAACAGTTGCTGCTACATAACCTTACAAAAGTAGCAAATTATTAGAAGGATTCTACAACTAAACTAAGTACATGAAAACGACAGAAAAGCTCTCCCAAGAAATTTACTACAATACCTTCTTTGCAAGATTCTACAAACTTAACAGCATCCATGGTAGTAATATGCTCCATCACAACCTTCAATTGCGGAAGCCTTTGAATTAAAGGCTCTAAAATTGTTTCAATAAAGACCTTTTCCCGATCAAATATATCAACTTCAGGATTTGTGACTTCTCCATGAACCTGTCATGTATACTGATTCACAGATAAGAAAGTACAACAAAAACTTTTTGAGTACTTTATATAAACATAAAAGGCATACATATAAAGAGAGAAACATTTCAATTCACCACACTTGGCTTGCCATAGGAAGCACTCAGCTCGTTTTCGAGTTCTGAAGTGTTTGTAGATAACTTCATTGTGGAAAGAAAAAAACAATCTGAATTTGGTATCCAAAAACATATATTCTATTACAAAGGAGCAGTGCTGTCAATTGCTTGCCAATAGCGGAAAACAGCAGATTGTTAAAATCCGCTATGCAAAAGTGTTATAGCACCTCTATAGCTACTATTTGACAACATTTTGTACTAAATAGCGTATGTCCAATTCCCACTATGCTATAGAGAGATAGTGCTACTATAGCCGTTACTTAACAACATTGCAGAGGAGTGATAATTTCTTCATGAACAATTTAGCTCACGAATATGATAACTGATTTAGAAATTAGAATCAAGAATCTTCAATCAGAAAAAGCATGGCAGTATAAAGCATGAAACACATTTTCTATAAAACAGATAAAAACATTAAATATAGTCTCTCCCACAACAACAAAAATGGGGAAAGGACACTAAACATAAAGAAAGAACACAACATAACTAAAGATAAAAAGTAAACAAATTACCAATAATGGTAAACCTTGCTCAACCATTTCCTCAAGAACAGAATAACAATTTCCAAAAAGATCTGTAACACCATCTTGAGAGTTTGTTGTAGCACCAGCAGGATATAGCTTCACACCATAAACAAATCCACTTTTTTCTGTCAATGCAAATAGCAGCAGCAGCATCAAATATTGTACATGGCTATTGTAGTAACCAATGAAGCACGGACACAATACGGGTATCAAATACGATACGTATCCGATACGGCGATACGTTAATCAATGAAAATTTTAGGATAAGATACGTTTAAAATATGTATATTAAAAAATTAAAATTAAACATTAGTTAAATGATTCTCTGACAAAAACCAATTGAGTTTGCAAAATTTGATAATAATTGGTCAAGGAATTATAAGAAAAAGAAAAAATTATTAAAGTTAAGAGAAAAGTAATTGAAGGAAAAGTTTGATTCTTGTAATAGAAAAAATGAAAGTGATGAAGTAATTAAAGTTGGAAAAAGAAGAATTAAGGATGAGGAAGATTGATTTATATTCTAGAAATATGAATAAACATGAGATTAACTAGCCATATCCATAGAGTATTGGAGACCTATCACCAGTGTATTGCGACGTATCGCCTCCGCATCGGAATTTTTTATTTTTATTTTTTAAATTAAAAAGTTTGGATACTCCTTCGACATTTATCGGCGGTGTATCGGCATATTGGATACGATACGACATAGCTTTTAGAGTATTGGTGCTTCATTGGTAGTAACTATTAACAACTAATTATAATAAAACAGTATGCACACACAAAAGAAATAACCTTGATAATAGACACAAATTAAATTAACAATTCAAGGTAAAAGTTCTTAAAGATGTGAAGCAGTGATTAGACTCACTTGCAAGTTGAATCTCATGAGGAGTTGTAGCATCAGTGAGGTAAAGTGTCATGAGAGGAGTGAAATTGGATGTTTTAGGTATTGCTTTCAAAATTGATTCTCGATAAGAAATAGCGGAAGATGTAGTGGTGATAGGTGGTTTCAAATTGGGCATGATTATAGCTCTTCCAAAATGCTTTGCACTGTGAGGGGTTACAGCTTCAAGAAGAGCACCATCGCGAAGATGGAGATGAAAATCATCAGGTTGTGTAATAGTTAGCTCCATCTTTTTGTCTCCGCTGTCGTTGGCCGTAATCTTTGTGCCGTTCGATTATAGATTAAACCGCCGTTCCTGGTGTTGCAAGATCATTAGTTTAGTGGGCTTTGTGGGAAGGGCATTGAAGAAGAATCTACATGCACCCTAAAGATGGTTCTTACACCCCATATATTTTGATAATACCAAAAATAGAGTGTATATATATAGATTCTAAGAGATAAAACTGACTCCTCCAATTACAACCATTATCTCTTCAAGACCAGGAGCACATCACAATTGGATATTATAGTTGAAACATGGCTTCATACAATTACTCTTTCAAAATGTCGTTAAAGATTAAAGGTAAGTGTATAACATTGTTGTTTTTTGGTTAATGATATATGGAAGATATTAGTTGAAGTGTTGTGACTACATTCTTGGATGATTATTACATTTTTGAACTTGTGTTGCTTTACACAACTTCACTCACATCACATTCACTCTATCTGAATTCCAACAATCCAATAACACATTTATAATTCCAATTGATTTCAACCTACAAATTAGGACAAGCTTGTGAAATTCCAATTCGAACAACTAAAGGTTAATCACAAAATACATCAAGTGCATCAAAAACAACAATTCATGAGTGAAGAGTTTCAGATATGTGTTATTAGATTGGAGATGCTAACAAGCTATTCACAACTTCATCATTTTCATTCCAATCAACAAAGCTATTCATAACCCTAAAATTTATCTGCTAACAAGCTATTCATAACAGATCCATGAGTGACCAATCTATAACAAGTTTCAACCATGATTCTCTTTCACCAGATTCTGTTCTCATTCCAATCAACAAAGTTAAAAATTAATGCTAGCTAAGATATAAGATTTGGGGAGAAGACAAATACTTACTGATTCGACTCTGGCAAAGAGGCAAACGGCGAACGCGAACGGCATACGGCAAAGAGGAGGACCGGCGGAGAGGCAGAACGGTGATACGGCGCGGTGAAGACGTAGAAACGGCGATACGTGAAAGCTTTCTCAATCTCAGACTACACGCAGACTTTTTGCTCTTTTATATTTTAAATTTTTTTAAATAATTAACAAAACTTTGTCTTAGAAAAAGAAAAAATATATATTTAACTAGCTCGCTTTTTAGATTTTTATCGATTTCGGTCGGTTTTGGTCAATTGATTCAATAGTTTATCAAATTCAATAATTAGATCAAACTAATGATTTCGGCCTGTTTGGCTGACCAATCTAGTTTGATTTTTAAAACATCGATAGTATTGGTTTACTAGAAGTTTAAAAAAAATATCGGAAATTTCTTCAACCTTGAAATTTTCGATAGTGTTATTTTTTATGGTTATTATTATAGTGAAACTTTTGTAATAATGTGATTTCATCGACATTTTTGTATGGTCCATAATGATTTAAAACTTGTATAAATATGTCTCATGTTGTTAACAAAAACAACTCGCAATATCTTAATCATGTCATCTTACATATGTTTACTTCAACAACGTGAGTTCTCCTATTGAATTTAAGGTTAATGAAGATACCCCTCTTGATATTTTGAAATTTAAATTGGATAATCTTTTGCATTATCCAAATAACCGAAGGGTCGTTAAGATCGAGTGTATTCACATCCATTGATAATGAAAGGAAGATTATGTTCACTAAATTTGAGCGGAAGACAAATGAAGATCTAAGAGTTATGTGGAACACATTTCACCGTTGTGCAACAAAGAATTCAATCGAGGTGGATGCGACAATTGCAAAATCTACATAACGATATTTTGAAAATGATGAAACGTCTCGAGACATCTATCAACGGTTAAGTTATGTTCATGTTTTTTCATGTTATGTCATGTAATGTTAGGTTAGATTCATGTTAAGTTATGTTCGTTTTGTGGTAATGTAATGTTAATTTTCATGTAATGCAATGTTAAGATAAATTGTCAACAAAATACAAATAATTCAGTAGAAACCCAAAATAATGTCAACGACAATAAATAATGATCAAACAAATAAAATCTACATTGATCCACCACGGGCAATGCATGTTATGTGCGATAGCCCAATATAGACATCACCATTTGGGTTTACCAAACTCATAAGTGATAGTACTATGATTATGCCTGACACAAATGGACGGAAAATGCTCGTATATCCAACACTACAGTAAAATAAAGCATAATAAAACAAATTTGATATGTGAAATGTATTTAACAAATATTAACTAAATAAATAAAACATAATAAATATTCATACATTAAATAGACTCAAATAACTAGTATGTTGTCTCGTCTCAAAGGTATACGCCTCTTCAAAGGCATTATATAGTATCGTCAAAGCAGCAGAAACATGTGCCTAGTGGAGAGATTCAAAGTCAGCAAACGGGGATGTGTATCTAGGATCAATGTATACATGAGACTTATCCACTAAAATAGTATATCTCACAAGAAGCAACATGTATACTTTATCGGCCGCATTATACATAGAATGTTCCACCAGTGATTGATACATATCCTGAAGCCAAGAGAGATAAAATTGAGCACCCATGTTAGCCTTGAACTCCTTCAATACCAACCTCAGTGTAACGCACATGCATGTCTCAGCAGCCATACATTCAATTTGTTAGTTCATCAGCGGAGGGGTGAAGAAGTTACCAGCTAGGGGTGATCAAAGAGGTTGGAGACATCATCTAGGATAATTGTCATCTCACCAAATGAAAGATAAAAGAAAGATGTCTCTTTATGCCATCACTCAACAAAAACATATAACAATGGAGAGTCAAGCATGGTGAGCAAACAATCCACCAACGACAACAGGCCAACATCAGCAACAATCGACACAACCTCATTAGGCATATACACCGCCGAGAGTCTTCAACTTCAATTCATGAGTGGGGACCTTCAATGGAGCAATGATCATGTAACAAATAAAGCATAAATTGTCAGTTACATTTAATTAACCACTAATAAATAAAAGCAACTGAAATTAAACTATTTATACCTTTCCTTGCCAAAATCTAAATGCCACATGACCGGAGTATCCAGTGAGCAAGGTAGGTTCGGAGGGTTTTCCAAGGAACCCCTCATATTTGTCAACCTGAACAGGCACCTCTGTATAAGTTAAAGTTAGCACATCCTTATCAGCCAAAGCAGGAACATGCATATCTATTTGAACACGAACCTCTATATAGTCTTGAATAGTCACATTTGCCTTAACATCACTAATAACAGTATCATATAACTAAGCATCATGATCTCTGAACTGACCAACTCTACCTCCTATACTTTGAAGAGTATGTGATCCACAAGACTGCTCAATCCTCATATGAAGAGAATCGGTGGGGACTACTGGACATGTGACTTCATATACAATAGGGTATGAATTCTGAGGGTTTGAAAAATGTTGATTTGAAAAATCAGAGTTTGAAAACATTTCGAAAACAAATGATTAAAAGAGAATCCCTTAATCAGTTAGTTAGGCTTCAAAAAAAACATTTTTAGGTGGTTTTAAATAATAAATAGAGACTTACAAATATTTTTAGTGTGTGTGATTTTGAATAATAAAGAGAATTCTAGAAGTACCCTGCGCCTTTACAATACACTGGCCACTCAATCGAACACGGCCAAGCATGCTTTCACATTTTCTTTTTTCCAAAACTCTGAAGCTTCAAGTTTTGGCATCATATCTTCCAGTTTAGAATCGCACAAGAACCTTAAGTCTTTTTAAGGAGGCTTAATATGTCTTTAATTTGATTATCATCATTAGGGGGTTGAGAAGATTAACCACCAGTGAACCTTGAAGTAGAAGTATTCACTTGAATATCATTTAACCACAGTGTTGACTTAAAAGAGATAACTTGAACTTCAAAAGCATCTTCAAAAGGATAACTTGATCCAAGAGGATAGCTTGATAAGACATCTTAAGCATCTTTGATCACTGGAGTTATCTTCAATAGTTAATGACTTCACCGGATATCTTTGATATTATGTGTTGACAACATCAAAACTAAATAATCAATCAGTTGATTGCGACTTTGCTATCAATAAACTTCACCACTTTTGATCATCTTGACAATACCTACTAGTATGTATATATATACACACACACACACTCAACCTTTTTAATGATGACAACACATCTCTTAAATAGGTGGTAAAAGAGAAAACAAACAGGTAAATTTTGGAGTGGTTAAACTCCTCTTCACGTGAGTAGAGAGCATACTATATTCCTCCTTAGAGTATAATTCTCCCCCTTTGACATAATAAAAAAGGCGGGAAAAAGATTTTAGTAAATAATGATAAACATGCAAGCACATAATTCATATAGATCAAACATGATTTACTAACGAAGGGAAAACATTAATTTATTAAGTGATACTCCCTCCATTCCTATATATAAGCAAATTTCTCACATTTCACACATACCAATAAACCTCATTAAAACTCAATGAATTATTTGACTTTTATAAAAATTAGTTATGTATTGACAGCAATACCCTTTACTATTAATTAAAAAAATATTTATAGTAATTATTAGCCACCCTAATAATAATTATCTGCATTAATTGGTGGTGTTTACAACACCATATTTTCATCTCTCTAACGTGTTTCTCAAATTTTTCTTCTCCTGCTTCTTTCAAAAAGTTTGCCAAATTTTCATTTCAAATTTTCGTTTTGCCGCCTTATGTGTTCTTTAAATTGAAAACTAAAATGAAGTTATTTTCCTCAATTATGAACATGCCTCTAAATCTTGATTTAAACAAATTTCCTGAAGAAATTTTGGATGATGAAAGTAATACAGCTTCCATGAATTATTCTTCAAGTTTGATTATGGATAGCAACCAAGCAAATCTGAATATTTTTTATGAAGAACACATAACAACTTCCATAAATCATTCTCCAAACTTGGCAAATGTAGCAGCTTTAGACTTTGTTGAAGATGGAAATGTAGTAGCTTCCATGAACTATTCTTCAAACTTGGAGATGGATTACAACACAACAAATCAAGAA